GCAAGTTTTCTACCTCATTAAATGAGGTTCATCTACAATGGTTGAAATAACCATTGTAAATATTCAACAATGGCTGCTATAGCTTATAGCCTTTTGCAATAGGGTGGTAGAAATGGGGTTGGACTTTCATGGGCTGGAACTGGAAGCTTTTTCCAACACAGACAGCATACAAATACTTAAGCCATCAATACTCTGCAGGTTTTGGCCAAACCTATGATCTGGTATGGAATAAAAATGTACCTCTCAAAGTGACTACGTTGGCATGGAAATTATTGCAAAATAGAATCCCAACAAAGGACAACTTGATGAAGCAGGGAATAAATGGCCAAGGCAATGAAAAATGTGTGCTATGTGATCTAGAAGCAGAAAGCATGGAACATCTTTTCTTCAAATGTAACGTATCATGGAGCATTTGGGCATCATGCTATGACTGGTGAGATCTCAAAGTAGCTGCTCACAGTAAAGGATGGCCCCATCTTGAGCAACACATTGGCATGATATCCACAGGTCTTGTAAAGGAAATGCGGATAGTTGTTTGGTTTGCAACTATGTGGTCTATTTGGATTTGGCAAAACCAGAGAATATTTAAAGATGGAGCTAACACTAGGGAGCAAGTTGTTGAGCTGATAAAGTTTAGATCATTTTACTGGTGCAAAACAACATTATGCTCAGACCTTGTGCAAGACAAACGGCGTTCAAAACCAACAGAAGGCTACATGAGAATGCAGCAACGAGTTTGAGATTATTTAGCACTCAATGGACATCACGGAAGAAGGTTTGACACCAATAGAAATATGATGAATTTTCACCCTTAAAGGTAGGTAAATGTTTTGAAAACATGTGATTGATTACTTTCTATTGTTGTAGGCCCCGGTCATATTTCTGGGAGCTTTTGCTATGAATGGAACCTTATGTATTAGTAATGTAATGGGTTTTGAGTACGTCCTATACTCCATGAATAATATATTTACTTTGCTGATAAAAAAAAAAAAGCTTGTAATAAATTTTGGCGTGATTTTACCATACCTATAACAACCTATACATGTGTGACCTGAAATTTATCTACATAATCATAATGAAATGATGCATAGAAGTTGTTATTAATCTAAAGAAGTAAATTTGAAATTTCCTAATGTACACAACAGGTAATTTGGCCAGCTTCTTCATTTTGCCAATCCTATTTACATCCCAAATAAATACTTTTAAACCTTCTAGCAATCAAAGAAATTAACAGGTATGAAAATGATATGAGGAACTCCAAAATGTTGGGTTTAAGATGGTGCAATAAAATTAAAAATTTAGAAATTTTCCTCTATCAGCCCACTTAAAAACCTTATTAATCTACTGATAGTTAAAGGTTTATTGATCAATTCCTCAAAGAAGAGTGCTTGTTTGCTTAATGGTTTTGACACCCAATTTTTGCATGAAACTTAAAGTTTAAGGGTAGAACTCCTCTAACACTAATCTACATATATTTCTTAAAGATTATGAGAAGATCAAAAACTCTCAAGTGCTAGCTATAGAGGATTTGGATTCTTTCCTTTCTCCTTGATAATGGTTCTGCAAAATAAAATCAAGAAGAATCTGTGTGGCAAAGAAAGCTCTCACTAGAAATAATATTTTCTTTCACTTTCAGGTAACCTAGGTCTACAATGATGAAATAGATTATGTTTTCTACTCCTATTTATACTAATAGAAAATAGAAAGACAATGATAATTCTAATTCAATTAGAATCACATTAAATCAAATCTAGTCTCCTAGTCAAGGAAGAAGACTTTCCTTCCTTTTCCTTCTCTTTCCTTGCTGCCACCCTTAGTCGATATTAAAATAGGGATGCACCATGCACTCCCTTTGTGCTTGGGGCCTCACAAGACGTAATCCACATGAACTTGGGTTTCAGTTATGTAAGCCTAATGGGCACATTGGCCCACCTTAGATTTTTTCACCTTTAAACAGTCAAACTTATCTCATCTTAAACTAACTTGGATTAAATAAATTTAATACATTCTACCAAGTTAAATTTAATACATTCTACCAAGTTAAATTTAAACTTCATCAATTTATTTTTCTTGTAAAAAAATTATTTTCACATAAATTAACCCTTTCCACATAAACTTGGACTATAGAAATTCTAATTCCATAAAGTACACTAAATGTATGAACCTTTAAATTCTTATTACAAAGGCAGTGAGTATCTCCCATAAACCAAGAGCACTAACTATCCCATAAACTTTGGTTATAGAAATCCTAATCCCATTAATACGATCTCTGTAACAAAATTGCCGCCTCTCGATTTCAGTGGATCAAAACACGGCTCACGTGGTGTCCCGGTTACACAAAAGTGGTTGCAGATTTGGTTCTGTCATGTTTAGTAATGCGTTTCTCTTTCTTTTGCTTGTTTCTTAAATTTTGTTATTTCTCTTTTTGTGGGTTCAGTTGTACTGGATAATCCTTTTATTCTATTATCATACAGTTTGGAAATGACCGAAACAGTTTAGGTGCAACTCCGATGGATCATGCTTTTTACCACCTACCTTTGAAACTAATCAGTTCAAAGACTGAAATACTAGGTAACCCGAAAAAAATTTATGATATGAGCACAGCTCAATACTCAGAACAGAAAACAGCAAAAGCATCAACAACATCATTAAGGAACAAATGCTTTATTGCTCATTTATATTTGAAAATTTTCCCATTTATGCAAATCAGATATTTCTTCAAATGGATTTACTTTGTACAGCTAAAAATCTAAATAACTTCATGCTGCTCAGAATTGCAGAATAATTACAAGATGGATTAACAATGTATTGTTGTACGTTCAAATATTCAAGTTATCAAACTTCTCCAGAGTCTGATCCTTGGATGATAAATATGCCTCTGAGAAATTTACATCAAAAAACTGCTTGGCTTTGTGGAGTGATTCCAGGTAAGACTGTCAAAACAACTGTTAAGAATGCTTTTTCTCGACTATGCAAAAATTCACTATGCAGCACTCAAGCAGTTCTCCCAAGTACCGTATTTTGTTTTGAAGCTGCCCCCACCACTCTGTTGTGCATACTCGGAGATAACCGCACGGGCACAAACATCCCAAGTCCTTGCCATCTCTCCGAGTGACACAGGTTGTGAAAGACCGCGTAGTGACGTACTAAACCTTGACTTCACTTTCACTGAAAGGTCTTCATATTCCTTACTGTTAAATCAGGAGATGATGCCCATAATTACATTACTAATAGAGACTTAATATTTAAACACAGGATACAAGTTCATGAAACATATTAAAAAAAAAAAAAAAAAGAATGCAGAAATTGTTTTAAGGACGTATTTTTTCATCACCTTGGTTATCCCAAGTATCTGCGCACTATTGTAGAGGGAATTCAAAAAGGCACTATTAATTTAAAAGTTTGCAAGCTGAATGTTATTGAAGCCAATTTTTTCAGTAGATCTAATAGTGGGCTGTACAACAGATTAGGAGAACATACCACTACCATCTGTTTCTGCCTACAAAGCATCATCTCTAGGTAGCTCAACGTGAAAAGCAGGTTTGTGTGGATTCTTGGCTTTCTGATTTCTATTAAATTCAACCATCTAAAATTCACACGTGCCACTAAAAGATTTTGGTGCAAGTCACCTTACCTGGATATCCTTAGGGGCAACTAAGGTGGGGAATATGACACAAAAACTATAGACGCTGAACAAGACTTCCTGTATTGCAACTCAGAAATAAAATGTTGATATATATATATATACACACCTAATAGTAATTGAGCAAGAATTGTTAAAAAAGATAGAATCAATCTTATTTAAAAAAAAAAAAAAAAAGAAGAAGATATGAATCAATCAAGAAGTGCAAGAAAAGGGAAACAAATTCATCATAATGCATATCAATCAGCCAGATAAGAATTCTATAGCTGCTCAATATAGCAGGAACCTTTCTAGATAGAGACAAGGAAGAAAATGTGGGTTGTCAAAAAACCCCATTCCCTTACCTAACTTCAACTGGAAATTTGTCCAACGGTACTGGAGAACAATCAGGATAATTTGTGGGAACCAGCAAAAGTAAGGGCTGAATTGGTGACTGCACAAAAACAGAAGGCTTGAATAAATACAGGTAAACAAGTAACACTCCCAATTGACTTATCACTTTCTTTTAAAACAAATGAACGCTTACCATAAGTGCTGAAGCATACTGAGATTTCAAGTTTGGACTAATAGCCACGGCATTAAAAGAGCATTTAACAAAAGTTCCTTCACCCCCTTCAACTGCTGCAGTTGGAACAACATCTTTGTCACTCATATCAACCACCGTGTCTACAAGTCTCTGGTTTATTTCCCTTATTTCTTCCAAAAGGGCAAGATTATCCTGTAATAGGTCAATATAATTATGTGAATCTAAACTTTGCATGCAACTGGATTAGACAATATCCTAAAAGTATCTCTTTTGAATCAGCATTAGGTGGCCATTGTTATTTTATTGCATGTCAAATGATGGAAAACATACAAGCTTCCAGTTCCCAAACAGATACCAAAGTGTTTAAGATTCTGAGAGTAGTAGTTAAGGAAGAATATATGACTCATACTCACAGTGCACCTTTAGCAAAAACAACACAAGAACAAAATTGATAAAAAATTTTAGAATAAGTAGCAGAAGTTGGCTTGGCATTTCAAGAAAACAGGGTAATCACTTCAATAGCTGTCAAACTATTGATGGGACTGAAAACAATCAGTATCCTGCATTCTCTGACTCTCAATACAATTCCAAGTTCGATGTGAACTATCAAGTTTTCTTATTACCACTACATTAAATCTTTTACAAAAGCAAAATCTGTGTAGCAAAAGAAAAGAGAAAATTGAATTATATAATTTAGAACATAAACTTAATGAGGATACTTATCCTGAAAATCTTCACAAAATTTTTCCACCAGTAGCATAATGCATAAATTACATTTTATTCATATTGTTATTTCATGTTCAAGTATGATCTAATTAGACAACTGCAGCTCATGCTAACCAGTAAGAGCAAACAATCTTATTGTAAAAAATGGATAGGTCCGATGCATGGACATTTTTGTCCTAAAATGATCTACTAATGAAACATCCCATCCTTGTTTGATTATATTTTAAATAAAAGTCCTTACTTAGTGAGGACTTACTTGAACAATTTAAAAGTTATGGGTTTGCATGGCTAAAATCATACATGCAGATGGTGGGCTGTCATTCCCAATGCCACCACCTTGTGACAAAACAAGTGGATTTAATAGGATCCACCATCAAAACCAGCCCATCGTTTTGAAAGGGTTTAAAACCCATTTTTAGACATTTTCTATTACTCTCTCTCTCCCTCCTCTTCAGCCGAGTAGAGTAAATGGCAGGGGAATACCCTGCTGAATTAACAGAGAAGGAAGAAAAGGTGGACAGAGAGCTATGCTAGATGAGCAAGCACCAGAGAAGAACAAGAGGAATGGTTCTGCATGTTCAATTCTTTAGCTTGTGGGTTAAACAAGAGGAAGGAGAAGATGACAGAGAAGCTGCTGCTGTATAAGAGTGGGAGAACTTAAAGATATCCAAGGAATTTCTGCCAAGAAAGTAATGGGTTTGTGAGGTAAGTATACGTTATGGCTTTGGTAGCTGTAATTGAATTTAAAATGATATTTGTCTGGTTAAATATGATCCTAGACTAAAGTTAATGCAAGAAATAAGCTTAATTACGAATTAGGACATGGTTAACTGTTGTGTCTAAGCCTTATATGATTTGTTATGATTGTGAAATATGCTTGAAGTTCTAAGAATCTATTAACGGTGAAAGGTACTAATTAGACCAATTAATATGCAAGTTGAATTTAATTGTTTAGACATGTCCAGGCTACAAGTCAGTGCTGGATTAAAGTTGGGACTACATGTTGGACATGCAGATATGGCTTTTGAAAGCTATAATTGACACAAGCTACTGTGCTATCTTGCTGTGATTTAATAATAACTTGTCTTGCTATAACTAAAGCATAAGCATGACAGTTCATGGAATGCTGTTTATATGCTGTGCAATGCCTACCGTACAGAGTTTTCCAAACTATACTTACGAAAGTTTATGAAAGTATTAAGCTATGATGAATTATGCCATTATAGTGGCACAGTGCAACCTGCCAGTATATATTATTATATGAGCTAAAAAATGAGAGTCAATTTATATGAATGCATCATTGTACATGCTGCATAGAATCTATGGTATGATAGCTAAGCTAATGGCTAGGTAAGATACTCCTGAAGTTACTTGGAGTAAAGAATGATGATACTCCTAAAGTTACCTGGAGTAAAAGAATAATGCTCTTAACGTATCTGGAGTAAAGAAAGAAGATATCAAAAATGATACCTAAGCTACTAAGCTAGGTATGAACTCCTAAAGAACCTGGAGTAAGGAAAGATGATATCTAGATCCACTGCATGACAGGAAGAACCATTGGTTGGACCAATGGTATGCTGGGATGTACACCCACAAGGAAAAATCCATTGACAAGAACTTGCATTCATCTGCATGATGAACAAGCAGAAGGCTGCCTTGCTAATATCTTATGTTTATTGGAAGTATTTATGTCATGTTTATGTATGACATTGATGAAAATGTTTGGTATTGATGAGCAGTGTTTGATGGAATTGATTCTGTGCTTCCCAAGGTAAAAGAATTCTAGAATGGAGACCAAGTAAGCATGCACTTGGATTGAACTTACCTGTCCTAAATTAGATAGTTCTAATTTAGAGATTGTGGATTATTTACAAGATGATGATTTGTCTATGCCTAATTCTTGTATCTTGACATAAGTTTCATATGGAAGAACAATGTAAGTTAATTGATGAAACTTGCTAAGTTAAATTAAGGTTTCAGTTATGGTTCTTAAATTATAACCTATGCTTTTATTAGGCTTTACAGCTCATGGTGTATTGTTCACCCTCTTTTCAGGTTAGCTTAAGAAGTATAAAAGGCCTTGGAAGTCCAAGAGCTGCATAAGGATGTGGAGTTCAACAAGTTTCTTCAAGCTTGTAAAGTAAACTATATCCACCCGAAAGTTATTTGTGGCTCAAGTTTTTATGAAAATCCACCCCTGGGAGTCTATAAACGTTTGTAGCTATTTATTCCTAGTGGGAAACTTGGCGTCGTATAGCCTGAACCTGAGTTTCTTACTGTTTGTCTAATTGTAAGATGTCCTGAAACTTATTCCTTACAAACTAGTAAGTTTTTTTCTTTGCAGAAGTTTTAAACATAGCCTCCTCTGCTCTAGTTCAAATATTTTCAAAAAGGGACTTAAGGGATGTTTCTTCAAAGATATGTATATATAATTGACACCAAATTGAAATTTGGATTTTAAGGTTATAGCTCAAAACTGGTCTTTTTGGTTTGGGATGTAACAACTAAATACCTCTTTGAGAACAAATATATAGATTTTTTTTGAGTAAAATTTGTCAAAGAAACAACACTCTTCTTATTCACCTTGCAATATAAATTTGAACTAGAGTTGATTCAACCTTCCCCATTACGATGCTACAAAACATTTTTGATGCCTATCTTTAATTGCACTGTCATGCACCAACAGAAGACCATGGTGCTTTTTCCCTCTCAAGTTGCTTTAGTGGGTTAGTCAGTTTCTGATAGCACTTGCAAGGAACTGTGGTTTTTTACCCAAGGGATGTATAACTAACAAGGTTGTTCCTAAATCCTTCAAATACAACAGAAGATCCTTAACTCACCGAAGCACTGAATATTAGGAATATTTATTCCTCACTTCCACAAAATTTCCTCTAGTGACTTTCGAGGGAACAGCTAAAACCTTGGGAGGTGTTATTAGTTGTTCTTACCTTGTTTCATTTTGTTATCGACAAATTGGTGTAAGGAATAGCCATACCTAATATGTCATGCTTGCCCTCTCTAATTTATCTTACTTTTGTGGTTTGAACAAATAATAGTTCCTTCAATCTTTTCATCCAACCAAACATGACCTTGGGGTGTTAGTCCCTGATTAAAGCGGCTGATATCCTCACTGAAAATTTGACAATAACACATGTTCTCAAAATATCCTCAAGTGCAGACTCGGAATGGAGCTTCGAGACCTGTCAAGTTATGTAAACTTAATACACTCTCCTATAGGCCCGTATGACCTTGGGGTCCTATTCCAAGTTCGGTATGACCTCTGGGACCTATCACACGAGCTGAACCATAACAAGATTCCTAAGAAGGAAACATGCTTTGATACATGTGGAAAAATTTGACATGTGAGTCTAAACACAAAATAAGCATCCAACCTAAAACTAATTAGTATTAGCTAGAGTAACCACTACACATGTTCTTTTTATTATTTCAATATATACTCAACACTCACCATGTCAAGGAATCTCTGAAACGGCTAGGTTTGAAGTTGTCTACCATATCACATGACTTACAGCAACACCATGGATGCATAATAAGTCCCAGAATTTCCACAGAAGGGATATCATCTACAATGGTGTTTGACACCATTTGTGGTATGCAATACACACATGTTCACCCCACAAGGAATATTCTGATATAAGCATCTCAATAGGATCCTTTGACATATGCATTTACAAATATATTTTCCTAGAAAATTCATGATGTGGGATTGGAGGCACAATAAAAGATTCCCATTCAATTATGACGTCCTTACTATGATTTCGTATACCTTGCATCACTAGGTAATGTTATATTGTAAAGATAGACATAAAAATTCAGGAACTCTCCATTCAAATGCTCCTGCCAACCAACATAGAGCTTTCATTTTGTTCATTACTTAGTTCCACATTGCTAGCTGGTTGACTCCGGAACATATTAAACGACCATGGATTCTCTTGTGGAAGGGTATCAATAAGTTTGTTACTTTGATCTTGAACATAGACACTTTTGGGATTGGAAGTCTTCCTGTTATCCTAAGCAATAAAATTTTAATTAAAATAATTAACATTGTTGATCAGACACAGCATCTTTTCTGATGTTCTCCACTTAGAAATCAGTTGCATCGAGAAACCTGCTACCCGCTTGCTTTATATCACGGGCTATGCAGGAAGGTTAGCTAACATTCCATCTGAAATTGGTAGGACCAAGATGCACTATTGGTCATATCTAACTATTTTGGTTTTTCTTGTTAAACATCAAAATGAAACATCAAATATGATAAAGACCACAATAACAAAACTAGCACAGTTATAATGCCAAGGATGTGATTAACAACGGTGTGTGGTAAATGATGTGAAATATAGGAACAAGAAACCCATTAAACATATAAGCTGACCATTAACAAGTGAGAAACAAGGAAGCACTAACAACAAGAATTATGAGAAAACAGGACAATCTCACAGATAATTCTTAGTAATGATTTTAACAAGATGACAAAGTAAAAGACAACCGGATGCAATGCAGGAACTCTGACATAATTAATATATCAGACCAATAGAGTCTCAGACCAATAGAGTCTTCAACCAAACAAAGTCGAGTAAAAGCTGTTCTCTGCTTCAAAACTAGAAAGAAATAGAGAAGATAGTGGAGAACACAGAACCAAATGTTCATGAATAGCTCAGAATTTCAGAAAATGAAAACAAACTAAAAGAATACCTCAGTTCTTGGCCTCTTAACAATAGATGTGGCGGTTAAATCCAAATCAGATGTCTCTGAACCAGTCAACTGTTTAAGACTATCATTCATGCTGACTGCTGATGATACAGCATTCAAGGGCATGGCACTCGTGTAGCGTCTTATTCTCTTTGTCCCAACCATTCCATCTTGCATAATGAAATTTCTTGTTTGCAGACGACACTTTGTCATGGCAACCAAATCCTCACCAACTGCAGCTCTAGACCCATTACCTGGAGCAGACCCTGCAATCCTATCAATCATTCCGACAAATGAGCCAATGTCATTGACAGATGCACTCAATGCCTCGGGAGACAAGGATTTGACCTGGTAATAATGGCAGAACAATAGCATTAGATAATTTGTAAGGAAAAAAGAATTGAAAACTTGAAAATTTTTCCATTTTAAACCTTTCCTGCTTTTTTGTCTCACTATCTTCCGAAGTAATGCCGTTTAAGAACAAGAGAGAAAACCAAAAAACAAAAACCTGTATGAGGAATTAAGCTTAACTGACCACTTTAATTAAGCGATCAAGAGGTTGCTCCGTAACAGTTGACTTGCCAGAAACAGTTGACAAAGCATGACCTTGCGTGGTATCACCACCAGTGAACTCTGCTAGCAATGGTGAGGCTGATATCCCAGGAGTGCCAATTGCAAGGGACTGTGATCCCACCTGAACTGCAGTTACCGGTTGATTTCCAACGCTTTCAGTATTTGAAAGTAAAGAAGTGCCAGCCATAGGTTTCTCAGAAACCCCAGAAAGAGGAGATGGAGCTGAAGGACTAGAAGGAGATGGAACAACAAAGGATGAGTTTGCAGATTGCAATGGGGTTCCAGTTTTTGTCATGGATGATGACAGATTTTGGTGATCAACTTGTTGGGAAAAATGTTGAGGCATTTGAGGAGAAGCAACCTGAAGGGGCTGAGATGAAGAAATAGGAAACTGAGAACCTGGTTTTAACTGTTGATGTGGATAGGGCGGATGCTGGTCTTTTGGAAGATGAAAGACCCCTGGCTTGACCCCCATCCCCTGTCTCATCTTCATGTCATTTACATCATTCGTTTGATGCAGCTGTGACATTTGGTGCACCTGTGGAGGCATCTGCTGCTTTGCTTGTTGCAGCAGTTTGAGCGATTGGGTCTGAAGCATTGGCTGTTCTTGTTTCAGCTTATGGGGCTGAAGCATGTTAAGATTTGGCTGTGGAACATTGACTCCACTTTGTGATGACAAGTTGTTAATGTTTGCTTGTTGGGGAGCAATAACAAGACTTTGTTGCAGAGACCCCGCAGCAACCTGCTGCAGTAAGCTGTGAGCATTTCCTTGACCTGAATCCATGTTCAAACTTGTCTGCAGTGAATTTAACATATTCTGCTCTGCTGATGAAAAACCTGGTAAAGGCATCAGAGAATTATGCTGCAAATTTGACAGTTTCTGTTGCATAGTTTGCATAGAAGCTGGCATGTTAACTGACTGTGACTGAGGGTTGATTTGATTATCATGAGATTCTACTTGTGAGAGCTGAGATTCTGACCGTGGAATGACTTGCAAATGAGATTGGGGAAGTTGTCCTTGCTGCAGCAAAGAAACAGGCTTCCTGGGCCGACTTGAGGCCAAAAGATCCACTATATGCTTCTCAGAAGAACCCAACTTTTCCTTGTGAAGAAGGGTAATATTCTCTTTGGAAGAAATTGATATAAAAGCTATAAGGCGTTCCAATGTGGCCTTGAACAATTTGAGCTTATCAAGTTGTTCTGACTTTGGCGGTTGTGGCAGAGATTCATGCTGAAAAATCAGCAATATTACAAAGTCATCTTAAGACATATGAGTATATCACAGATCATGATCATGAGCTTATGAATCCTATAATGAAATAATAAACAATGCTAATGGGATGAAGTGCCAAAACAGGACTTGATTAAAACCTCATATACTGATTCCTTTAAATATGATAAAAGTTGACAGGTTACATATCAGTTGGTTTAGAAATCTCTTCGAAGGTTAGGCAATGAATTTGAGTAGCAAATGCACAAAGGGACTACATTACCTGCTGTACCCTTTTAGCAAACCTCTGGTACACCTCATTTAAATCATATGAGTACATATCCTTCATGGATATAATCTGCAACACATAAATTGAAGGAAAGGATTATTACCAGCTAATTTATTAAATTATCAATTGCATCTTCATCCTGTTATAGAGTGATTTAATTAATATAATGAAAGATTTTCTAAAAAAAAGTTAAGTCCACCACTGGTTCATAGCTTGCATGTAAGATGTATTTTTCAAATTTAATACATTTAAAAGAAAAAAGAAAGCCCCTGAATTGATACATGAATGTGTAAGCATGTCACTGATTATTATTAGATTAAGCATGCAAGACTTCCTTGGTCAGGTTGACATAACATTGGCACTTTGGTCACAGACTGACTACAATTTGAAGTAAGCTTTGATATCCTACTTCAAAGACAAAAACGAATTCATATCAGTGCCAAAGAACTTTTATCTCGCTCTGGCATTCTAAAAATCCTGGATTCATGGATTTTACTTCTACCCCCAGCGACTACAAGCAGTCTTAATAAACTCTAGCTACTGTCTGTCTTAAAACTGAATTCCTTGTATCCCAAAGCCATCTTATATTCAGCCCTAGCATTTCATCCACTTTAAGTGCATTATAGCATACCTTTTGATAAACCTCTTCTTGCCAATCACCACCATTTGGATGTCCCGTCTGGACAGTGGAATCTAGCAATGCTGCAGAAACATAAATGCAAATGTGAAAACACCCCCCCAAAAAAAAAAAAAAGAAAGAAAGAAGAAAAAGAGAGAAGAAGAAAGAAAGGAAGAAGAGGGATACTTGTGAAGGAAAATATAAAAGAAAAAACAACTTTAGATTGAACAAGTTCCAACTAAATTGCACAAATATATCTGATTTGGATATAAACAACAAAGGCATTCAAGTAAAGAAAGTGGATCGTTAGAATGCAAAAGCAAGACATGATCCCTACAGAGAATAAGGAGTAAATGATATAAACAAGAATGGACAGATCAATAAATAGTATATTCCTACCATAATCAAATTCCTAACTTGCAAAATTTTACAAGACTCAATAGCATACAAAATAACAATAAAAATTAGAAATATATAAAATGATTCTTGACATGAAAACAACCCAAAAAAATAATAATAATAATAAAGAATAAAGAATAAAGAATAAATAAAACTCATAGTATTCATAATTGACCATGCATATCTAGTTTCTTACTTATCATACCAAAAATGAGGGACCATGAAGAGCATAAGTTATCATTACTTTCATTCCAGCTCTCAGGATCCAAAATAATTACAATTACATTCTTTAAGAATCAATTATTCAAATAAAGTTAATATTCTGCCAAGTATGGCAGCAATAATGTGCCAGCCAAATGCTGACACTCTTGACTAAAATTTGAGAACATGAAATATTTACTAGAGTAGCGCACCATTAATTCTTGACACAAACATCCAAGTCAGATGGAAATTATCCTTGAACACAATGGAGATACAATATAAATTCAGAATGTAAAGGATGGAAGAATAATAATCAAACAAAACATGAAATGAGAAACCAAAGAAAAACCAAACAAAGAACTACACTAATTAACTGTATAGCTGCAAAATCATACTTGATGATGTGTCAGGAACAGCTCTTTGTGATTGGTGCAACTGTTTTTGCTGGTCTACTAAATTTTGTTGTTGAAGCAATGAACCAGGTGTTTGAAGCCTCTGTTGCATGTCTCGTTGTAATGAGTTAGGCTGCTGTCGCAAGCCCAACTGCTGTTGCAGCAGTGATGTCTGTCCTTGATTTGATAAAAAGTTAGGCGCAGTCTGATGTATTTGTTGGAGTGGAACCTTTGACTGTGGTACCATGTGTTGTAAAGAATGCTGATTAGCTTGCATGCTTGAGTTGCTCAACTGCTTTCCAAGCATTTGCTGTTGCTGCTGTTGCTGTAAGCCTGGAATATTATTCTGAGGCAATTGTGCCTGATGCACATTTGCGAGGTTATTCTGTTGAACCACTAACTGCTGCTGCTGTCGTTGTTCCTGTTGCTGTTGCAGGTTAGGAAGATTATTCTGCTGGCTAAACAATCTCTGCTGCCGCTGCTGGAAATCACCTAGGTTGTTTAGTTGTCCAATAAATTGATCGTGCTGCCTACTTGAAACATTTGCCTGTTGTCCCATTAGATGTGGCTGTTGTTGCTGCTGCTGAGGCTGCTGAGGTTGCTGGTGCGGCTGAGGAATCATTGACTGTCGTGTCACTGGTCCTTGTTGTTGATGAATACCAGCAACTTCTTGTGGCTGTTGCTGCTGACTGAGGACAGACTGTGGATGCTTCTGAGGCATTGATTGTGGTAATGATTGGACACAAGATTGCTGATTCTGTTGAAGACTGGAGAGAGTAGTTGATTGCAAGGCCGGTGACTTTATATCAGATTGCTGAGAAGATTGAAACTGAGTGGGTTGTAACAGGTTTTGCTGCGGCCGCTGCTGTTGCTGTATGTGAGACTGCATGGGTGAGTGTGAGAGATTTCCCTGCTGAAACTTTTGCTTCATAAGATGATGAAGTTGCGGTTGACAAAGTAACTGTGGTGGATTTTGGGACTGCTGTTGTTGCTGCTGCTGCATTCCATGCATCTGCTTCTGCGGATTTGCAAACATGTTGGAAGGCTGCACCATTGCACTGTTACCAACCATGTTCAGTGAAATGCCAGACACGCTTGTCAAGTTTGAATTCTGGCCAACATTTGGGATTGGATTCTGGGTTAAACCAACAGATGGCATTGTTGAAGGTAAACCACCAGAATTTTGAACTACAGTTGATGCAATGTCATTCTGAATGTTCTGGGACAGAAGTTGTTGACGTGCTTGGGGTTGGTTACCTGGCAATGTCTTAACTATTCAATGAATATTGGTAAACAAATGATTTCCATTCTAAATCTCAAAGGAAATCCTAAATTTCTTAAGAAACAAGAAGAAAAGCCCCCAAGCCATAATATACCTAATTTCTTTAGAAAAGTGCGAGGGGGGGAGGGGGGGCAGGGGTTTGGTATCCTGCAACACACTTCTTGCCAAACAGAATGCTATTCATTTGATTACCTGGATCTGGAGGTCTGCTACCACTGCCAGGATTGGGTATGGCATTCTGAGACTTGTTCTCCATTGAAAGCAACTTGAAGGATATTTTCCTCAGGTACTCCGACTAAGAATGAAGATCAATAAAAACTTCAGAGCAAACAGGATTTACTTACTTAAGATAAGAAAGGAACAAAATTAATGAAATGTTATCCATGCTTAATAATAGAATCCCTTTCTCTGTCTTCATTACGCTTGCATTTGTTTACACTTTCGAGTTCTTTCTTATATAATCCATGTATATTGGAACAATGCAGGTAGGCGATTGGGCATAAGATTAATTTAGGTTCTATTAAAAAAAAGAGGGGGGGGGGGGGCGGAGAACAGAAGCAGCCAGTCATGCACCAAATGTTCAGTAAATGTTCATGCACACTCCAAAAAATACACATGCTCTCTCACATACCATAAAAAAAAACACACAACTGGTGATTACCTGGCTACTTGCAGTAGTATAACTCTTCTCCTCAAACCTTACAGCAATTTTCCTTAGCTCATTTAATCCCTCATCACCAGAAAATGGAACAAGCTGCATCAGTTTATCCATTCTACATATATCATACATTATATTAGTAATTTTCCAACAACATATATCTGAAGAGTTCAGTAATAGCAACAGGATACATTAAGAAGGCATAGTGATATGGAGAATGCATAAAGATAAAGAAAAGAAAGGAGGGTACTTAAATGTTTGCACAAAATCCAATCAGATCTGAACAAAATATTAATAGAAAAACAACTTTCCCCCAAAACCAGGTCAGAATGGCTACACATCAACCCTCAGAAGCTAAAGCATAGGAAAATAAACAAAAGCTCTCTCAATATAGAAAGATTATGATGCAGGAGCATAAAGTTCTTTTTTTTTTTTTAATTATTTGTTTTAGTTTAGTTTTATTTGAAGTCTAAGTTTTAATTTTAGGAAGGTCATGTGAATATCATGTGACTTTTTAATTAGGATTAGAATTAGTAGCTTATTAGAAATTCGTAACTTATTAGAAGTTCAAATTAGAATTAGGATTCTTGGCTATTGTTAGTATAAATAGTTACTCTTCTTAGATTTCAAAAGCAGCTTTTGTTATGAGATCTTAGTTTGAGAAAACACTTAAGGTTGAAAACCTAAGTTTTCTTGGTTCCATCTTTAATTTTACAGAGTTCTTAGTTTCTGTTTGTTCTACCCCTACCTTCCCTGCATCAAATTGGTATCAGAGCCAGGTTGGTCATGGAAGAGGAAACAAAGGCCAACAAGCAGAATTAACTGAGATGTGACGTACGACTGAGGACTTGTCGTGAGCTGTGCAAGCTTTAGAGCGACAGGAACCCATGGGAGCCCATATGGAGATTCTGGAAGGTGACAATAATGCAGACACACCGGAAGGTAGTCTGAAGGATGAAACTGTGGATGGAAGGGATGAAAACCCTTTTCATGAAGCTGGAATCGCAAATCAAGTGGTAAGAGGTGGATTAGAAAAGTGGTTAATACATGCCTTGATCTGAACTGTGGTGGAATTAAAATAGAAGTTGCTGATTTTCATGGAAAGATGCATGCAGAAGATTATCTTGATTGGGAAGCTAGCTTGGACAATTATTTTGAAAGGAAGCACATGGCAGAAAATAGGAAAGTGAATTTTTGTGAAGCTTAAGTTGAGAGGAGCTGCACTTCAACGGTGGAAGAGAGTTGAAGAACAGCATTCTTGACAAGGCAAACCAAAAATCAGCACCTGGGAGCACATGAAAACAAAGATGCGAAAACAATTTTTGCCAGCAGATTATGCAATGGAATTGTATGAAAAATTTCATACTTTGAAACAGAACAGAATGCCAGAAGAGGAGTATGGTTCAGAATTCAACAACTTATCTTATAGGGTTGGTTTGAATGAAACTAGTGAGCAATCAACTTCACATTATCTAGCTGGTTTAAATCAAAGTATTAAAGATGAAATAGGAATTGTCCGTTTGTATAATCTTGAGGATGCTTGGCAATATGCTCTAATGGCAGAAAAGCGAGTAAGGCAATATGGAGCTAGGAAACCCATAGATGATCAGATTTATGACAATTCCCAAGGAAACAATAGTGCTGAAGGGGCTGCCATAACCAACAAAACCAGCAGGAACATAGACAAGGGAAAGAATGTGGCTTCTAGTTGTGATATTCAAGGAAATTCAAAAGTTCATTGTTTTAGTTGTGGAGGGAGGGGACATTACTCCTATTCTTGTCCACGACGCCAGGTGAACCTAGCCAAGTTTGAGGAAAAACTAGGTGAGATGTCAGAACCCATTTACGATGATTATTGGGATGAATTTGAAGAGGTGGACGTTCTGCCAGTTAAAGGTGAGTCCTTGATGATTCAAACGGTGATGACCACAACTAGGGAAGAACATGAAGAAGACTGGCAGAGGCATAGTATTTTTCGAACAAGTGTTCTCTGTGGTGACAAGGTATGTAATCTAATTATTGACAGCGGTAGTAAAAAAAATTACAGTTACCTATTGAGAAGGATCCCCATCCCTACAAAATTAGGTGGCCTAAGAAGGGTGGTGAGATACCAATTACATCACGTTGTTTGGTAAGTTTTACAATGGGGTGTGACCTAGAAGAAAAAGCTTTATGTAATGTTGTTCCGATGGATGCTGCACATATTCTTTTGGGCAGACCATGGTTATATGATCATGACATGATACACCACACAAAGCCTAATACCTATTCCTTTCACATGGGCAACAAGAAATCTACATTGCATCCTTTAAAGGAGGGTAATCAAACAAAGAGTTCACTAGCTGGGAGAAAGTTTGTTGGCTATTCAACCACTAAAAAAATTGAAGTTGAAACTAAAGAAAAAGTGCAGGAAGATGTTGAAGACACACTTGGTCTTAAGGTAGTGAAACCAAGAAAGGCCAACTCAACCAAGCAATTTCTTGTAAAATGGTCAGATATATGTATCTGTGACAGCACCTGGATTGCAGAGGAAAAATTCAGAAAAATTGGTCCAGATGAACATGTTGAAGATGACAAATCTTTCAATTTGAACCAAGCTAAATTTCTAACCCAGGGAAAATGATGCAGGAGCATAAAGTTCTTTTTTGATTATTTGTTTTAGTTTGAGTTTTATTTGTAGTCTAAGTTTTAATTTTAGGAAGGTCATGTGGATATCATGTAACTTTTTAATTAGGATTAGAATTTGTAGCTTATTAGAAGTTTGTAACTTATTAGAAGTTCAAATTAGAATTGAATTAGGATTCTTGGCTATCGTTAGTATAAATGGTTATTCTTCTTAGATTTCAAAAACAGTTTTTGTTATGAGATTTTAGTTTGAGAATAAACTTGAGGCTGAAAACCTAAGTTTTCTTGGTTCCATCTTTAATTTTACAGAATTCTTAGTTTCTGTTTGTTCTACCCCTACCTTCCCTGCATCAGATTAGATCCCATGGCATGCTCAAATCAGCTATTCTCATGTACATACTGAAGATTTTGCATGCATTTAAAGAATGCCACATCAGTAAGTTATTAGCCAGGTTGAGACATTCCAGTCAAGCAGCACCTGAAGAGAAAAATTAAGTTTGTAAATTTAACCCCTCAGCCCACACCTTCTTCTCCAATGCACTGCACACATGTGCACACACCCACCCACACACACACACCCCCAAACACATGTTCCAGAAAGGAAGATGGAAAACTGAAGGATATATATATATATATATATATATTCTTTTAACTTCAATATCTAGAGGCAGAAACCTTTGATCTTTATTATAAGTTTTCTTCATCTGCAATGGACAAAGACCATACTAAATTTTAAGCACATATCTTCCAAATCTAGGCCTATATATAGAAGTGCCCACTCAACCTAAAGTGGGTGAGTGAAAGAAAAAGGCAAGGGTTATCTCAATTTAATGGAAGGGCATGTACAGCATGTACATAGAAGTAGTTTAATTCAGGACAGAAGGATTTATCTTCTAACATAGAATATGAGCTCTTCAACATCAAATCAGTAGAACTAGTAGACATAAGAGTAGAAAAAGGTTAAAATCATCTAAATTCAACTAGCTAGGTGCGTGGGTTCACTCCCAATCTCATTGAACTAGTGTCAATCCTAGGGGAAACCATGAAGAGGAAACTCCTCACAACTCTCATTGTCCAGCACGTATGGTCTGCCTTTAATCAAACTAGAGTTACACACAAAGAAAAACTAACTAAAATGGTAGGGTAGGATGAAGGTAGGGAAATAGAGAATATAGATTGCAAAATTTGAAATAAGTTAGCACAGATAAAAATAGGAATGAAATCAGTATAGTCACTAGTAAGAGTCTACAAGTTAGGAATGGGCATGCTTTTAGTCAAGGGTTTGGTTCCCAATGATAGGAATAATGAAGCTACCTTAAAGTATTTCAATAGCATACAATTTAGTGAAACAAAATACTTGCTTTAAACTTCTAGGGTTTGGGGGTTACGTGCAGACATGAAGACATTATATAAAATACACAAAAAGGAAGATAACAAGGCAAGGCTAGTTCTGAAAATATAAGCATTACCACAAGCTAGCGCAAAAAATGAGAAAAAAAAAAAAAAAACTTTATTGTAAGATGAGACATTTTCCTTGAGTTAAAACACATTAAGATGAACAAATGACAAGTCCTGGTAAAGGATGTAGAAAAAGGCAGAAAACCTATTTTTGAAAGTTATTTAATAATGGGACCCTTAAGAAAGATGTAGGTCACCTATATTAGTTGTATTGAAGATAGAAATGTCAAGTATGCACATAAAATTACAGAAGTTGGTACCTTAGAGATTCCATGATGAAGATAGAAGTAGGAAAAGCAGTTGGCACCGATGGAAGTTCTATTTTTTAATTAGGAGGGGCCTAGTGGAAGGGAAAGAGGAAGATTATGTTAGTCCTAGTTCTCTATTTTTCTTTAACAAAGTCTAATACTTATTAACTATTTAGTGAAAAAACTTTATTAAACACTAATTTTCATTTTATGATTCAATTTTCATTTCC